GAGGGGGTTGGAACCACAGTCCATGGTATGGCTGCCTGTCTTGCACAGGGTGGCTGCTGCTGAGACCGCCAAACACCAAGCGAAGTGTAACATTTGCAAGGAGTGCCCAATTATTGGATTCAGGTACAGACTCGCTCCCTTTCTGCCATGTGTACTGCTGCTCGGTGGATGAAGAGCTCTGCTTGTTTCCAGACAAATCAAATGCTTGATTTCATGCATTTTGTTCAGGGAAAAAATAACTGTGATGGGACATGAGGAAGAGTGACACCTAGACTGGGTACAGTGATGCAGAAGTTGATGAGAACGAAAACCATCTGTCAATTAAGATACGGCCCTTCCTCTGTGTCCCACTCTTTCAGTGCTTCGACCAAAGTATTGGTGGATTCACACCTAAACCGATTTGCTTTACATTTGGTGTGTCCTATACACGCAGTTAAATTTTCTGAACTGCATCCTAACGAATTGCTTTCTGTCATGGTAGAAAGCAGGGAAATGCCTTGAAAATTTGCAGCCTGTAAAGCTACATGTATGTTTCTCAGAGAAAGAATGTTGTTGGTGGAACATTAACCTGGAGTGGGGGAAATGTTACTGGTCTATTTAAACGTCTGGATCAACACCATGGTTACTATGGCAATGAATAAGTCACTGTGTTTTAAAATGGCTGTGTGTTGGTATGCCTGTTGAGAATTCACTTAACGGCTAAGTAAATACTCACTTTCAATTATGCCTAGACTTGTTTTATCACTTTGCTGAGCAGTAGCTGCTTTGCATGGTTTCTGTCCTTTTTGTGCTTGGTCGTCTTTTACCATTGGCATTTGTCCTTCTATGGTATCGTGTTGTTTACAAAGAGCTTTCTGTAATTTTGTTTCTAAAACCTAGGTAGACAACAGGAGCAAGCAGTACCACATAGAAAAGCCATCATTTTGCTTTAACTGGGAGAGTATGAATGTTGCTTTTATGCATGTAATGGGGCAGTGCTTTCTACTTTGCAATTTCACGGGCAGTGGGAAACAGAGGAAATAATGAAGGTATTGCTTTGATTTCAACCTGAGTGCTCTTCAGTGAGGCTGTTTCTCTAATCACTTCAATTTTCCTCCTCCTGCTTTTATTCCCCTTGAATATCTTAACTGGGAAATGGTAAGTATTACTGAGGAAGAGCTAGGGATGAGAAGTAGTTCAACACATCCACAAAGTCTTAATTTTCACATTCCCAGATATGGTTTATGAACTACTGAATTACTTACACAGTTTTATATAAACAGCCAAAGACAAGTAGGTGGAATTGAAAAATGCAGCACTTGGAAAATCAAAGGGTAGCAAGTGAATGGATAGTCTGTAGTGAGTGTTGAGAACTCGGGAAGTAGACACTGGAGCTCTGTGTTTGCATCTAATTTTACTTGACTGATCTCATCTGTCTCTTAAATTTATATAACAAATCTATTATCATGATAGTGGAATCTGTCTGTTGCAGATTTTTTCTCTGGCTTTGCAAGTCATTGAAACCCCGTGTATGCACTTGACAAAAAGATACTGTATTGGAATGCTTTTAGAAAGCTAATACTGTGTGTCTCAGTGCATGTAAAACAATGTTCTTTTGAGGTCATTGTGACTGAACTGCTTCGCGTATTTGGAACAAGACAACCCTTATGCCTCTAGCTCTTTCAGTCACTTCAACGTAGCAGATAGAGTAGTTAGCTGCCTCACAGAGCTGATGAGGTTAAATAATGGCCCAAAAGTGCATTCGGTGTTTTGCATGGGGGGAATGCCATACAGGAAAATTGTTTTGGTAGAGGTGATAGGAAAGTCACAAATTCCTGCCTTGTATGCAGCAGTTAGGAGTTTGTTGGAGTGACTTGTTGAGAAGAGCATAACTTACTTGAATTTCACTTCCTCAGACATTCTGTGTTAGGAATCATGATGAAGATGAAGAGCCAAAGAACTAAAATTGGCATTGTAGAAATAAAAAGCATTCTAGTGTCTTTTGTCTTTTAAGAGAGAGTGAGTGTGTAGAAATTTTTCACTGTTGCCCAATGTTAAAACTGTTTTTGGAGATTCAGATCTTTGATAAACATCTAAGGCAGCAAATACCAGTCCCTCGGTGGCAGAGGAGCATTGCCCAGCATTGCACACCATGTGACATCTCGGGGAAGAGAATTTACTAACACAGAAAACTTGACAAGCTGATACAAAGCGTTCACATACAAAGCTCTGAAGCCGTGAATTTTTTTCTCCGCTTTTAGGTACAGAAGTTTAAAGCACTTTAACTATGACATCTGCCAAAGTTGCTTCTTCTCTGGCCGTGTGGCAAAAGGTCACAAAATGCACTATCCCATGGTGGAGTACTGCACACCAGTAAGTAGCTGTTTTACTGACCCTTACTGTCCTTTCTTATGTAGAAAAGAAAAACTTCATTTTCTATGTGCAAGGTAATGGAGTATTTTGGTGGCTTTTCTTCCCCCTCTCCACCTCCCACACCCCCCCAGTTAAATCCCCTTTTATATTCTGTGTATGCCAGCAATTTCTGATGCTTAGTAAAGGATACTTCAGTGGTTTGAAGTAAACTGAAGTTCATTGTTTGTATAATGCCGTGTTGTGATGTATTATTGTGTGCTAATGACTTGTTCCATGTTCAGTGCCAAGTTCACTTTCTGGATCCTGAAGGAAGCCTGTGATTTGTGCAAATACTCATTTGTATCTTAGGTCACAATGTTTTCTCCATATCCGTGTGAGATTTTTCTTCCTTTCCTCAGAAAATTGCCACTTCATTTTTTTTTTTTACCCCTGCAGCACTGTGATTGCATTTTTAAGTTCTTTACTACTTAGTAAAGAACTTGGTATAGTATAATCACTTGATGATATATAATACCAGGGAAGTTCTCAAGAATAGCAAGTTAGGTTTCATTACTGAAGACTGTAAGCCGAGGTGCTCAATGCAGCACAATGCAGATGTGCTGCACTGATGGTGTGGTGAGGGTCTTCAACCTTGTTTCACAGCTCTCAAAAGGATCACTTTTGCATAAACATTTTTTTCTTACCAGAAAGCTGGCAAATGAAATTCCATTTTACTCTTTCAGTGTGCTGCTTTTTGTTTTGGCCACTCTTGACCAGTGCAGAGAGAACGTCTCAAGTTGTTCTTCCACGATGCAGCACATCTGAGCTCTCAGTTGCCTTTGCTATTGTTTGTGGTGGTCTTGAAGCAGTGTGCTCTCTGGTTGTCATTTCCTGGTGTGATGGGATGGACCTTAGTCTCGTACGTTCATCTTCTGGTCAAATCTATATAGTGAAAATAAAGCATCAAAACTATTTTATGGTCTAGCCTCATAAAATTTTATGAATGGTCTTTATATCGTCATCCAAACAAAAAGACATGGCCAAAATGAAGTGAAGACTCTCAGCTTTCTTAGAAACTTAGGAAAGAGAAAAAAAATTATTCCCCTAAAATATAGTAAAGCAAACCCAATATATTTATTTACATTATCTGTGAACTTTTACTGTAGCATTTAAATGGCAGTATTTAATCTGAATCACTGCAAGGGCAACTACTGTGAATTTGCTAGCTGTTTGTCAGTATTCACTGGCTGCTGCTTTTTAGTGTCACCCCCCAGGGGTTGAGGTTGCTGGAAAGGGCGATTTGCCTGAACTGCTGTACAAGTCAGAGGGAAATGCTGATGCTGCCTGGGCAGGTCTGAACAGACTCCTCCGTCGCAGCATTCCTAGAGCAGAATCTCATGATCGGCATTGTATGCAGAGCCAGCAAGTGAGTGACCGACCTTGTTAGAGCATTCCTTCCAGCTGCAGCCGAGCACCTCCTTGCTGAATTGGCTATGGGTTTGTTTGCAGTTTGCCACTCTTCGTCTTGCTAATAAGTGACATGGGAGATTTGCGAATGGTGCATAGAGTGCACAAACCAACTTCTTGCTATTGTTTTCTTACCCTGTTCATTAGATGTGTTTTGAGGATAGAGAAACAAAAATGGATTGTGAGACACTCCCACAGCCCGCAGCAACTCATTGCAACACAAGGTCCAGCAGGTTTCTGTTCTCCCTGGAAAAACAGATTACTAATAGGTGAACACGGTGGCAAGCAGAAAACCTGCAGCCACATCCAGATTGCTGGGTCAGAATAAAGAACCATTCACAGCCAGTACATTTTTTTGTGAATCCTCAAGTCCAGCAGCCCGTGCTAATGTGCTGTGCCTGGCTGCACTGGCAGCCAGTTGAATTAGAGAAGGATTAACTGGGTGAAAAAGAAAAAAGTGACGGTGGCACACAGCAAGCCCTGATGTTTTTTGTGTTGCTGCTATTAAAAAAAGTCTACCCAACTCCTCTGTGACTGAACAAGACATCCGCTGAAGCTGTCATATCTAGTATGCAGTTGTTTTCTAAATGAGTGAAGAGACGTTTGCAGGTGGTAGAGCATTTTTATCTTTTCCTCCAGACAGATCTCTGACCTTAAAATGCATTTTGGTAGACAGAAGACATGAGGTGCCGTCTTTGATATATCTTTGCAATAGCTAGATGTGCACAATGAAGTGTTTTGGTATTTTTATTCACCCTCCCTCTTACTTCCAGGAGATTTTGGAGCACTGCAGTCTTTAGTTCTGCTCAGGGGAGATTTCAGAACTCATGCTAAGTATCTGAGGGATGTGATAAGTTTTCCTCTTGTGCAAAAAGTTGAGGCAGAATTAAGTTTCCTAATTTTCATTTAGGCAGAAAAATTGCAACAATTATTCCTGAAAGCAGCGCAGCTCAGTTTTATTGTTCAGAAAGAGATGACTTTTCTTTTTTTTTTTTTTTTGAAAGAGGTTTAAGATAAAGCATAGAAGGCAACTTCTAGACAGGGATTTAAATGTAGCATCATTTTTCTGTTTGGGTTTAACAGACAGTGACACATCAACCACCTTGTTAGACGGAAGCATGTCAAACCAAGATAGCTGTCAACAGCTAGTGTTTGCAGTTGGGCTGTCTGGGCTGAGGGCTTGGCAAGGCACTTTCTTAAGCCAAGCTGGGAAGAGTCAGATGGTGGTTCTTCTGTGAATAAGAACTATTTCTTATGAAATAGTTCCAGTTTCAGAATAGTTTTGGAACATGCTCTACCCAGCTGCCTATATATTGCTTTGATTTAAGAGAGCTGGGATGCTGAAACTCCACTGTTTCTTGCTCATAAACTAGTTCTGCTGAGAATTTCGGTTTGGGTGATTTTACTCTGAAAATCATGTAATAAAACATCTGTGGTATAAATCAGAAAGTCTGGCTGAAAATAGCCTCAGTTTATCATCTTGTCCACATCATAATCACATTTTCTTTGCTTCGTGCTCCTTGAACATTTTTTGAATGGCATTTGGATCGTATGAGAGGTGCTTGGTGCTTCTCGTTGGCACTAGAAGACATATTTTCTTCTTGGGATTCTTGTGCTACCAACTGCGTTGGGATGTTTCTGTGCATACACACCATTGTACTGTGTGTTGGTCATGCAGAAGTTCCCAGAAGCAAGGGGGAATAACAACTTTAGGAAGGCTGAAGCACAGAGTGTTTTATTGTTAATTATACTGAAAAACGCTTAATCCAAATTACAGTCAAATGCAATGGAAAGTGTTCACAACATGGAAAATAGACAAGGCAGGGATAAATGGTTATAAATGACACAGGTGAACAAATTGGACAGAAAGCTGTGCTTAATCCATTTATACCAAGACTAAATAGTAAAAGATTCCCTCTCTTCCCAGCTGATGTGCTCTGTGTGCTCTCCTGATGCTGACCTGGTTAGAAGCAATCCTAGCAGGCCTTGTAGATGGCATCTGGCAGAGGGAATTCCCTCCTGCTGGCTCATGCAAGGCCACCTCAGTAAATCCCCTTTCTACAGTCCTCTGGGTGGTCTGGCCATGCCTAATCCACCCCTTCCCCACAATGTCTTTACTTCTGATGTGTTGAGGAAGTGATAGTTAATATTATCAAGCATTATCTCAGTTTCTTGAAAATGCAGATGCTGCTGTACTGGCTCGCATGTTCTGCTGTGTCACTTCTCTGCCAGTCACAGCGAATTTTCCTACCAGACCAAATGACCAGAAAAAACACAAATTCTTTCCAGCTTTACATGGAGCTTGCAGGTGTTGTTAGTACAGGCATAATACTTGTCCTTTCTGTTGATGCATTTTGGTCTTTTTGCTGATTATTTTTCAGGGCATCCTTAATTTTTCTAGCCAGGCAATCATTACAAATGTATACTTCTGTGTTTCAGCAGGTCAGTGAAGGTTGGCATGACTGATATGTCCCAGCACCTCCTTCCTCTCTAAAGAGAAGGTGTAGAACTCATTAAAAAATGTCAGAAAGATTAACTTTTACCTCATTTCTTTCCTTCAAATTAGATACGCTGGAGAAGCAATATCATTATGTGGGTCAGGAAGAACTTAGTTTACTGTAGAAGAGCAGCATTTCAAGGTCGAATGTCTCTGTGAGGTGCGGAGAAGGGAGTGCAGCCTGACTAAAGTAACTGAAGTCTTCCATTAAAATTCTTCAGAACATCACCCATCTCTTGGTCGGGCTCACATGAAGTCTTGCATCTTCCCACCAGACATCTTTTGAATTCTTCCTTGCTCATTCTGATCTTTAGGAAACTAATTCCACTTCACACTCCTCTGCTGGTCTCTGCAGCAGCAAGGAAAGCCCACTGCAGGCAAGGGAGTAGTAGAAAACTTCATGCACCTTGTACTTCTCTCAGGGTATTGATCTTAAGTGCCTGCTAGCTTCAGATTAAACACGCACAGGATGAAATAACTGATCTAAGAGCTTTCTGCAGCTTGCACCTGCTTTTTGTTTCTCTTTAATGGCAGAGGAGGCTGAGAAGGGAAACTGGAAAGAAGACATACTGAGAATAGAGGTCTGACTTGCAGACTGACAAGTCCTTGAGATGTAGAAGACAAGTGTGTGGTAAGAGTAAGGATCCAGACAGTGAAGCAGTTGGATCACTGGGTGCGTATCCTCCCTGTGCAGGCTGGACGCACTGACCGGCTGCGTATCCTCTGTTAGAGCCATTTTTTTGCTGAACAAAAAGCAGGCAGGAAGTCTCCTGAGCCAGATGAGGAAATGACAAATTCTTGTCTAACTATTGCTTGTCCTCTTGAGATCACCAGAGGTGAGGCACGAGCCTATCAGGGGGGTTTGCAGCTTCTCTTTTTTTTTTCCTTCTTCCCCACTAGCAGTGTCACTGTGTAGTACATTGTAAGGTGACAGTGATAAGTAAATAAAATTTGCAGCTCCGGAGGTGAGCTGTTGGCGGCTTTGCTTGGTGTGGCCACAGATCTTCCAAGTGACCCAGTAAAGGAAGAGGCAGCCAAAAAACCGTAATAACCTCATGAAAGATGATTTCGTTGTGATTTGTGGCTTTCAGACAACTTCAGGAGAAGATGTCCGTGACTTTGCCAAGGTACTAAAAAACAAATTTCGAACAAAAAGATATTTTGCAAAGCACCCACGAATGGGCTACCTGCCTGTGCAAACTGTCTTGGAGGGAGACAACATGGAAACGTGAGTAGCTCTGAAGTGTCTAAATAGCAATTCATTTGATACGCTCTTTGAGCTCCCCAGCTGGTGCCAAATCCCTGCACTTCCTAAATGCATAAAGCCTCTTTCTGTCTTTCATTGCTGTTAACCTCGGCTGGCAGGAAAACACAAGCTGGGATTCCAATTGCCATTGCCTTTGTCTGTTTTCACCTGTCTTTATACAGGAACTACCGCTTCAGTTAGTAAAAGAAAAATACTTACTGTCTTACTGACAGTCTTATAAACTTCTAAGTTTGATATGGCAATTTGGAGACTAATGATCTCTTCATTAAATTTTTATTTTCCTCCAAATGGGTGTCTTTCCGTGGTTTTATTTTTTGTAATTAGGCTACTGTGTTTGCAAGCTTCCCAGCTGATTTCTTCTTTTCTCACCCTATAAATTCAGACTTATTAAATGCTTTGATGTCTTTATGGAAAAAAATAGAAAGCAATAATGATGCACATGGAGAAATCAATGAGTCAACCCAGTTCCCTTCGGTTTTTTTACAAGTTTAATCAGTTGTTTAATGGCAATTGCATGCAGCTTGTTCTCGCTCTTTCTCTTTCTTTTTTTGTTTTAGATTTAAATTTTTTTCTCACTTTTTGGTTGGTTGCTTTTCACATTTCACTCATATTGGTCTGCTGGACTTCTGGTTTTCAGTTGTTGTGATTTTTATTTTTTTTTTTCTCCCAAACCTTTCTGTAGTTATTTTGCTGCTGAGTTTCTTCTGCCTCTCTCTTCACCTCCTCATTTTTTGTCTTGCAGTCCTGTTACTCTGATCAACTTCTGGCCAGTAGATTCTGCGTGAGTACTTTTGCTGAAGTGTGCTGCTGCTGCTACTGCTGCTGCGTTCCCTCACTTTGTTTTGTTTGTTTGTTTCTTTAGTTTTACATAAGTTCATTTCCTTCCTTCTTTATGATTATTTTCTTTGGTGCACTCTCTGAAGGAATGTTTTGATCCCAAATGAGTAGAATGGGATAAATCCAGGAATTCTCAGCAATCATGGATTGTGTACTGTATACTCTTTCTGGAGTATGTATTTTCATCGAATTAACAGGGATTTTGGCGCAGTCCTACTAATGCTTATGTTTGTCATTTAAAAGCTTGTGTTTCTGAATAAGTGTTGATCCCTCTGAATGTATACTAAACGCTTTTTGAAAGGTAGAAATTGAACTTGATGGATTCTATTCAGTTTCAGGAACGACATTGTTTTGTAGCAAAAGCTATGATTTGGTTTTGTGCACAACCGTGCACGCTCATGTGCCCTAATTAATCCAAAGCTCGCTGGGTATTTTATTACAGTTTTTTAGATACAGTAAGATTTGTGAAGGCAGGTTGGAATGGGGAAATGTTTACTGTATTTTCTCAGAAGCTAAAAAAGTAGAATTTTTTCAGCTATGAAATGGATTTTCATTCTTGCACCATTCCTGCACGTGCATTGTCTTACTGTTGTAGTAATACCCTTACCATAAACTAAAGAGATAAATATATATATATTTACTGTTGTGGCATTTGCTACTACTAGTGTTACATGGATGGTTTTAGAATAATGTTAAATAAGGATTATTTTTAATTCACATATTGATAACTAATGAGAAACTAATAAATAAGAGTTTTATATATTTCTATATGGTGAAATGTATATGGCTTGCACCTTCATGGAAAGTTTTGGTAGAATAAACAATAGTGAAATGTATACATTGGAATATTGATTTATAATTTTCGTTTGGAGCACAAACTATTGGGAAGTCAAGTCAAGTGCCCTACGTGTAGGAAATTTAAGCACCCAAGAAACATGTCTAGTACTTGAGGATTCTTGAGGATTCGCCCACAGAAGATGCCAAAAGGCTGGAAACAGGCTGAAATAGAGGGGCTTTGAACTTCAGGATGCACTTTCATTTATAAATGCATCTGGGGACAATTGCAGCATTCTGTATGCTCAACTGTGGATCTAGATTTCTTACACCTTAGAACAATTGCAAAGTTAAAAGTAACATTTAAAGAAAGCCTGGATAATAAGGAATGGCATTGCTCTGACTGACATAACATGCCTAATTCTACTTACTTACAGTATTAACACCATAGGTTATGCCTAAACCGACAGCTTGACACGAAAGGTTTGGTGTTGTATACTGCAGGGAGTTTAACTTGCATGTAATACTTAGGAAAACTTGAGAAATACTGAGAAACAGGATATGTATGGAGAGGTTTCACCTTTTATCAAACCAACTCAGGTATCTTCCCTAACACAGTCCTTTTGTCTGGTCTGACAAGAACGCAGAAAATCAAAAAAATGAGTAGTGTCTTGAAAGAATTGCTGTTCATGTTGTTCTGCTGACTTGGTTCCTTTCCATGACGCTAGATCATGGGACTTACAAGTTACTGAGCTACCCAGGTTTAAAGGTGTTTCTCAGTTACGGGACTGATTCCAGTGTCAGCTGCCAAACCTCTTTATTCTAGTTATCGTACAACTTTCCCATGTTTTCTAAGATCTTGCCTTTTTCTGATGCTTTCATGCCAGCCTTCTAGTAATCTTCAGAATACTCCAGAAGAGCATACCTGGCAGTGTTCGGGTGCTATCCTGACATCAGCATAAAAGTGACTATAAATACATACATACATATTTTTTGTTAGAAGTCAGTGATTCTGACTGCTTATTATCCAGTATTTTGCACAGATATTTTGCTTGCCAGCCATTAAAGGGACAGCTCACACCTTTTGTGAGAATTTGTGTCTCTTTACTTGGACTGTGGGGCTGCCAGTGGCCCAAATATGAAGTACTTGATTCTGCACTTTCTCAAGAAGCATCAACCGAAATGCTCAACAGGAAGAAAAGTGCCCTTGTCCTGCCAGCCAGGTTTGCAGGGTGCAGGGAATTGCAGAAGGTAGCGTTTGCCACTCGACTGCCACTTAACTGGAATTCCCCGAGCTGTTCCTGCACACCCCATACTGAGCAATGCAGGTGTGGGGCCGTTGTAAAAGGGGTGGTTATCTTGGCTAAATATTGGCTATGTCTCCTAGCCTTCTTGCAGTTCAAAATTAGGCGGGCTGAGTATATGTGCTGAGAAAAGAAGGACAGTGAGCTCTAGCACAGATGGTCATCTAAGAGTATGTCTATGCAACAGCCTGAACTGCAGCACAGGCAGCCTTAAGCTTTCTCAGATACCGGCAAAAATGTACCTCTGAGCAGACTACAGTGCTTCTCAAGAGGTTTGCTTTCTTAAGCAAACTTTCAGAAAGCTGTTTTGAGGTAGGTCTCCATTGCAGTATATTCTGAAGTGGAGAAAAACCTGGAAATGTAGCCTCATCCCCTGCCTGCAATTGATGAAGAGACAGAAACAACAAGTTACACAACTCTCTGTTACCTTTAGAATATATATAATCACCCACCTTGTTCACTTACAAAGTTGAAGCTTAGCTTCAAGGCAGCAAGTATGTGATCATGCAGTCAGGCCCATTATTTGCATTGCACTACTGCCAGAAGGGACATCTCTTCATTGCCCATATTCCCAACCAAGTGCTGTCCTTCCCTCTGAACTGGTACAAACACGTGTGCAATGCCAGGGTAAGAGGGACTGGGAAATAATCTAGCTCAAAACTAAAGCTACTTTCAGCACAGATTTCTTAGTCTACACACAGTATTAGCAGCAACATTTGTGTGAGTATTGATAGTACCAGCTTAGACCAGCTTAACTCCTGCTGTATGTCAAACAAATGAAAAAATGGGGATAGCATCAGTTTATCTGAAAACTGTTGTTGTCTTGCTGCTCCGTAATCCACTGCTCTAGATAAATTGCATCCTTTCTCCCCTCCCTTCCTTTCTGTGTAGATGTTCTTACAAAAAATATAGGATATCAAGTTGGAGGGAAGTGATTGCCCATCCGCATGAATCTCTGCTGTACTGAGGAACTCTGTGAACTGAGTATTTATCTTCTGGTGTGCTGTGGTGATGTTTGAACATGTTGATGGGTAAAAGTACAGTCAGAAGCTAAAGCTCATATCAGACAAAATGAGATTTGTGATACTTGGCCTTTAAGGTCTTAAAAGAGAAAAACTCTTTGCTGTCCTGTGAGAAGGAGACATTAATGATGATGAATTTTCTATATCCAGCATACAGCTCTATGAATTTAGAGGGATCCTAATTTTCTAGAGCCCCTTGCAGGATGATTAGAAAACTGGAAGATGACCAGCCTAGTTGATATGCTGCAGGCTTATCAAACTCCTAACATGGGAGCATTACAAATTATTACAGTCTTGTTATATAAGCAGTACAAACAAAATGTATATGCTCTTGCAATGTAGTGCAATCCCAATTGGGCAGACTCAGCCTGAACTACAGTATCCAACAGTTTAAAATGGGAGAAAGTCCTTCCTTAATCAGGAGTTCCAGAAGGAGAGTCGTCAGAGATGGAATAAAGAGATGCTGAAATTTAGCTAAAATAGGAGATTGCCATACAGTTTGGGAAGCTGCATCATTTTTTTGTTATTCCAGCACCTCCTGATACGTGTAGATACATCAACAAAATCCCTTATGGCAGCAAAGGGTGCTCTCTAGAGGAGCAGCGTAGGCAACCTGATTCCATGGTGATGTTTTCCAGAGTTGAGGCTGTAAGAAACAATACTCTTATTGATGAGAAAAGTTCTATGAATTGTTTTCATCAACAAAAAAGTGAAGAGGTCCTCATACCATCTGATCTGTCAATCAGAAAACCCAAAATAGTTGACAGTGTCCTCGTGTAGAACACACTGATCTACGGTTCAGATTGCAACTCTGGAAAGACGCTAGGCAAAATCATCACTGTCTGCAGTGTGTTATTAAAGGTTCATTTCAGACATCTTATGTTTCTTGTATTTATTTCTAGTTGCTCGTGGAGTAGTCCTTAACGGCTCTTTTAAGCGGGGTGTGCTGGAAACAGGCAATGGAGCAGGGCGGGAGTAGAGGAGAGGTTCCCAGCAGGGCTTTCACAGCTGGCGTAGGGCTGTGTGTGAAACAGAATTACCAGTGAAAGAGGCAGGTGTGAAAGGAAAACCGGGGTGAAAGCTCTTCTATAAATCCTTTGGGAAAGGGTTCTTCAGAGAGTGGTGTGAGGAGGAGTCGTTGCAGTGAATGGATTGCAAAATGGTTGAAATCCCCAGTGTGGTACCGCAAAACATTGCACCGATGGCTTGAGGAGGCACACGCAGCGCCTGGAGTTATAACTTGCTGTTTATCAAACATAGCATAAGGCGTGAAGATGTGAGGGTATAGGCATAGCTAAGTGTCTTTTTACTTTTAAAGGGGTATTGTTTGTGATTAATCAGTGTTTTCTGCCTTATAGGCCTGCCTCGTCCCCTCAGCTTTCACATGATGATACTCATTCACGCATTGAACATTATGCTAGCAGGTATGAGACCAGCTGGACATCAGGCAGATCTTTCTCTAAGCAATCATTAAAAAAAAAAAAAATCCCAAAGGCTAGCTGCTACCTGAGCATTTCCTAAAGAAACATAGGGTTTGGGGTTTTGCTTTCTAGGCTTTGGGATGCAGAGCATCGTCTGTGGTTGCTGTTAACCAGCCTGTCAACTAACTTGCATGCCAGAGCATCTGTGTGGTTAGAAGTGGCCTTTAGGTCCTGTGGGGTCTTTGTTAAGCTGTGCATTCAGGTTACTGATGTTTTAATAGGGAGATAAGGGGTAATGGGTTTTCACTGAAAGAGGGCAGTTTCAGACTAAACATAAGGAAGAAGTTTTTAAGTTCCATGATGAAACAATGGAACAGGTTGCCCAGAGAGGTGGTAGATGCCCCATCCCTGGAAACATTCAAGGTGTGAGGTTGGACAGGGCTCTGAGCAACCTGATCTAGCCGTAGATGTCCCTGCTCACTACAGGGGGTTGGTCTAGATGATGTTTAAAGGTCTCTTCCAACCCAAACTATTCTGCGATTCTAGGATTTTGTATAGAGTTTCATCTTTAATATGGACCCTGGTGTAATCATACAACTTAGAAGAGCAGAAACCTCCAAACTCCATGTGAATCTCAAGTGCCATTTTAACGTTAAGTAATTCACCTTGTGCAGTACCACAAACAGGATTTTAACTTGGTTTGGAGGATTAAAATAGTGCTATATTGCTGCTTTAGTCCACTTTTCTGCTTTCATACTGCTCTTAAGAATAAAAAAGTGGGTTAATTGCACAAACATGAAAACATTTTCCACCAGACAGGCAAATTAGCAAGGTTTGAGATAATGAAAAATGGTTACTCCAACCTAACCTCTTCTATCTCTCCCACAAAATCACTTGATCAGGAGAGGTATTTCTGAATTATGCAGGACATTTAGGAGGCTGAGTGTTTAAAACCAATGAGAAATGACTGATCATTACAGTTTTGATGATGACATTGCCAGGTACAAAGCAATTTGTGTAATCCCCTGGCATCGTAAGGCCTTTCTTTGGTTGTGGAATTAATTAATCATGAGGAGTGGAATATAACCTCAGAGAAAGGCTTGGAAACGTGAAAGTGAGTTTAGCCAGGTCATCGTAACAAATAAACAGTCCTTTGTGATAGCTTATTGCAAAACTTTTGTAATCAACAGTATAAATTAATTTGAGTTTCAAATTGATTAAAGACATCATGCTCTTTAAGTCTTTCAGGAATGTTAGAGCAAATAAAGTTTCTGGAAAATGTAATTGATTTTAATGTGTCTTGTTTATTTTTCCACAGGCTAGCAGAAATGGAGAATACCAATGGTTCTTATCTAAATGACAGTATTTCACCTAATGAGAGCATGTAAGTAGGCTGTTTTAATATCTTTGGCGTGTGTTTTCTTGTGAAGGTTAATAACTTGTAATGAAATTCTTCAGTGCTGGATTTGCATGGCCATATACCACATCTGGTTCATTTTAATGATGAACTTAGGTTTTTTTTTTTTTCAATTTGTATTGTCTAGATTCATGGCCTATAGCTTAATACCAAATTTATGCAACAGATGGTGGATACCTTCAAGATTAAAATCACTAATTTCTTCCAAAAAATTAGTGAAATATTCAGCAAACAGTTCCCATATTACTTGGAAAAAAGGCTCATCATCTGATGTGTTGTAAGGACAAACATAAAAAGATAACCCCTTTGTCTGTACTGCAAGCTTAACTGCAAGGTTAAATTCCTGTAAGCTAGAAAACAGTTGTGGGCAAAGTGTCATTCAGAAGGTTAGTGAGACTAAATTGGTCTTCAAATACCTGAAATACGTTGCAAGTGTAAGCCAGGAGGGACTCATCTTCTCCACAAAATAATTGAAGTAGTAAACTTTTAAGTTGGGCAGATCACTGACAAACATTGATTGTACTACTTTAAATGTAAAGTCATAAATAAAAGTTTTAGTTTTAAAAAAGTAGTTCAATCTAATGTAATACCGAGACCTTTCTGTGGTTACTGACATGGTAATATATTTCTTCTCTCATGATTTTCTCGATCTTGTTTATTTGCTGAATGAAAGGACATAGAACTAGAAAGCTAACTGAGTAATGTTTCTGAAAACAGAGTAGAAGTACATAAGTCATTGTCATGCTTGAAAATTTGGTCTTGGTTAACTGCGTAGGAGAAGTCATAGCACGGATTCTAAATAAATAAAATATGAAAATCCCCTCGAATTCCAACTTCTCTAAGGGTGTTTGGGTTTGGTTTTTTTTTTTTTTTCCTCTTACACAGAATCTCATCCTTACCACAGTTTAAGGTGTGGATTTGTTTGCAACTTTAGACATAATCTTCTTTTTACTAAATTTGTAGCATTTCTTTAATGCACAATACTCTGGCCAGTTATCATTCCCTTGAATTGAGATTCCAAATCATTAAGGTTGGTTGTGAGCCTGTGAGATGTTTTTGTGTAGTAATAAAGCTGTTTCATTGTTTCAAAATAGATTCTCCTTTGACTTGGTAGAATTGTTGTACCAACCCTGTACAACCAAGTACGTTGTTCTGATATATTGGTTCAAAAAGGAGAAGGTTATAATGACACCTCAAAACTAATGCATGCACGATGTCAGTATAGGTTTATGCAGTTAATGAAAACTTTGGTTCCAAGTTTTATGTTAACTTTGTATTATTATGGAGAGTAGTAATGCATTAATAGATGGAGTTTCATGTTGTTCCCAATGAAGTATTTCAGTGTCCTTAGTTTGGCCTTGCTGTTTGATTTGTTCTTTGGTTAATTAAGAGTTGTATTAATATTATTCAGTTCAGTTAAGCACTGACTATCCAGTTTGATAATTGGTTTGTGCTAATAAAATGGGAATAAATCAGTACATTCTAAATTTTTTTAAAAACATGAGCCAGATAGATACAAACTGCAGCAAAATCAAAGCTCACCATAACTTCACAACTCTAATTCTTTCAGTTTCGCTTGTCAGGTTATGCTTTAATATTATTTGTTGACATGCGTTTTGGATTATCAAGTTTATAATTGCAGTTGGAGCAATAGATGGAAACAGGACAGGAGGGAAATAAAGACATAATGTGTGTATATACCATAAAGCATTTCAATACATATTTTCATAGCACTTATCTATACAAAACATGTTCAGGCTGAAAATCACATAAAAAGACCATGTCTTGCAGAGTGGTATTATATGTCAATAGTTATGTCACTTTTTCACTGTTAATTCACTTAAGATGCATATGGGTATTGATAAATGCAAAGCAGTTCTTTGAAGGAAATCACAGTTGAAGTCATACATGAAAAGTATAAATTTAGGAACTGGCAAGCCTTTAAAATTTTGTTTAGGAGAAGGAAAGGATGCCTATTGTGAAAAATCAGTATTTCTCTTTCCTGAACTAATGTTAATGTGCTCTGTGTTGCTTTAGCACCCCTGCATTTATCAAATGGCATCATTAACATTTTCATGAACAAAATGGAAACAAGAAAAATTCTAATTTTTTAACGATAACTGCTATTCAAAATGTCTGTTAAATTCTGGACTACAAATGTAAAAGAAAAAACTTAGACTGAAATGTTTTTTGTAAGTAAGTAATAGCACAGAAAAAAATCCCAACAGCAGTGACATTTTTTTCTGTCCTTGATTTACAGTGTCAAAAGAAACCTTCCATGTTTTCTCAGTTACTGCTGGTGTTAGCTGCATAGTTTAGGGCTTGGGTGCACCCCTTAGCACCTAAAACACCTACTTAATACTGGACGATGGACAAGGTCTTCAGAATTGGATTTGTTTTTCTCCTCCAGCGATGTTTCTGTTTCATATGCCAGACAGATTCAGGGGCAATAGAAATACAGAAAGAGATCATATGTGTTACATAAAATTTATTTGTATTCTGACATTATACTTCACTTGTAATTTAAACAAACAAAAAAAAAACCAACCAACCACATAAATCAAAATTCTGTGAAAAGTAGTGCAATTTCATTAGATTAAGTCAGCAATTTCTATTTCATCTCATTTACAATTTTATAGAGAAAAATAGGTAAATAGAGGAGACCTTTATTACATAAGAAGGGTTCGTAGGTATAAAAATAAATGCCTTGCCTTTGCTTGAATGACCCTTCCCCAGCACAGATTAGGCAGCAGAAGATAGCCTTTTCTCTACAAGCAAATTCCTAATTGAAGTTAGGCAAAAGAAGAAAGCTCAGGTTGTCAGCTGTGGCAAAAGTTGGCTTTAATTATATGAAA